AAAAAAATATTTCATTATAGCGTTTTGGAAAGCTCTAGACCACCGGTTTTACATTTTGGATAAGCCATAAACTGTCGATTATTGATTTCATTATTGAACCTGATGTCTGTGACATTTTTTATTTACCATATTATAAGCTATATCAAGTGTGAGAAATAATTCATTTCACCGGGATCCAATTTTCCATATAATTAGCCTTTTATTTCAATTATCTAAAATTATTTTATTTGATCATAATTAAATCGTCAACATAAAGGGAAGATTATCTTTATTCTTTCCTATTAATAAGTCTACCTCCTTCTTCGATCATGCTATTTACTTTCAATTTATGTCACAATCTTTTTTGAATTGCACGTACTGCTTTACGCAAACAGGATTTTATTGTTTCTTTTTCAGGCGGTTTATGTTTCGCTTACAATTGCGATCTGTACTATAGAGATTACTTTCCGGACTATGATCTTGGCTGGTGGCTTTTCGCCGTCACAATTGTCATCGGCAGTCTGGGCGTCGTGATCGGTGGAATAATTAGCGACAAGATCGTAGCAAAAATGGGAATTCGTTCGCGTGTAGCGTGTCTGGCGATCAGCCAGCTAATCGCAACGCCGTTCGCATTTGGTTCGGTGTATTTCAATCCTCTTTGGGCAATGATCACACTAGGAATCTCTTATTTCTTCGGTAAGAATTCGCGACAGAATTGAATGCTCTAAATTTCCATGCTCAAACATTCCGTAAAATATCGATATTTTATACAGCAATTGCCTTTAAATTCAACGATCGTTTTATTTGCAGCTGAAATGTGGTTCGGAATAGTGTTCGCTGTTGTGGTGGAGATTGTTCCTCTGAAACTGCGATCAACAACCGTCGGCGTTTTCCTGTTTGTCATGAATAACATTGGCGGAAACTTACCTATTCTTGTCGAGCCTACCAGAATAGCCATCGGTTTCCGGGAATCATTGTATATTTTTTACGCTGGTTGCTACGGCATCAGTAAGTATATGTAACGGTGTAGGAAATTAATTCTTATTGCCGCCGTATAATCGTTTATATTTGCAATCGCTTATGTCATTGAATTTTTTATAAAAGTTTCAACTCAGGAAGCAAGAAACATCTTGAAGTATTCCAATTGTAATGTTGCTAGAATGTTCCAAAATGTTTCTTGCTATTATTAGGAATGACTTTCATAAAATTAATTCTTGATTTTATTATCATATCTATAATATATATATATATATAACATTGACGAATCTAAATAAACAGCTATAGGTATCTAAATAAACTAAAAAACAGCCGTGAAAACGACTAATAAGATTGTTCTGGCAAGCCTTTGATCACGAAAAAAACGTGTAACTGGACGATAATATCAGACATTTTGACGTAGGTTCCATTATGTTCTTCTTCACCATGTTCCTAATGGACGGTCCCGCGGAGGTGGAGAGAAAAGTAGACAAGGAGGCTCCGCCAGCGTACGACAATAGCACATTTACTAACGACGATGGCCAATTGCCAACATTGGAACTGCCACCGTTTCCGGCGCGACCGCCGATCTACGAACATTCTCGGCTATGAGTAGAAAAAGGCTCTTGCTTCGAAGAGTGTAATGTAAATAGTGTTTCAGTTATGTTGGACTAAGCATGAGTCAGATAGTTAAAGATTGACGACATTAACCCATTAACGTCGAGATTTTACAAGAAGTGTTTCACACTCTGTTGACAGTTGATAAATTGAAATTGACATAATCTACATTTCTTTATTTCTAGTGGAAAAATACCAGATATTTTGTTTGTGATATTTTTTTGCGTCTTTCGTCGGTCAAATGTTGATGGGTTAAAGTTCCTCGCACGTCAAGTCGAGACTTGCGAAATTGCGCAAAGGCGCGATGTTCAAAGCAGCAACTGCGATAATTAAGAGCTCTGTTTTGTTTGAACGCGGCATGTTGCAAAACATTTACGAGCGCATGGTGGATTACATAATGCTCTTGATAAAGAAGTTTGCAAAAAGGTTGATAAACTCCGACTATCTTTAAAATACGTTCTGTGTTCTTAAAATAGAAGTCTGTAATGAAGTGAGTATCTGCAGGTGTAACTTTTGTAAAAAAAAATAAAAACTTTAATATAATACTGAATTTAATATTGTAGGGATTGATAGAAAAATTAATGGAGCACTGATTGAGATTTGAATTCGGAATTTCTCGTTTTCCATCCTAGTATTTAGTACGTTACTCCAACGATGTTCCATTGTTGTCATAATTATTCTGGTCATCTACGTATACTTTAAATCATAATGCGATTCTCTTTTAAGTCATTTTAATTTAAGTCATGTCAATCATAATTATTATATATAATTATACTTATGTCTATTAGGATCCAGGTGTGTTAAAAAGTGGTTTACGCACGCATATACGCATGTATTCACATATTCAACACGAATTGCATATCGCAAAAAGTGTTTTATTGAGAAAGTCACATAAATTAATATTATAAGCTAATATTAAGTGGCTAATATTGGTTTTGGTGTTATCACATGTCATAGACAGCCTGTCGAGCTCATCATAGCGGATAATACAAAACGATATAATGACATATCGTACATTTTACTATATGTATGGACCACGCTGACGAAACATTACACACAGGATACGAGTAATTTTACGTACGAATTAGCAGCGTTTGAGATTCGCCATTCATCTCTCTATATACAAATTATTTAATATAAATAAACGAATCTCTACACTTGTAATATACAAAAGTAAGAACCGCGGGGGAGGAATCGCAGAGTATCCTCTAGACGGAGAACGGCGATGCCTCGGCGAAGAGTTTTGTCATGAGAAATGCTGTGTACATATCTACATACAGAACCGTACGGACGACACATGTTCGACGTTCTGCGAATAAATAGCCGCTTAAGAGTACACGCCGTAGCAACTAGATTGATCTACCTGTGTGCGTCAGACGATGTTGCCGCAATTACGTCGACGAACGTAGATAAAAAACAGAAAGAGAGGGGAGAAAGTACGTGTGGATGCAATGCGTCAATAAGCGTAAAAACTAAAGCCTCCTTTCGAGTTCGGCGTACTCTAATACTTCTCGAGTCGGCTAACACCTGACGACTTAGCGCGATAATGCTCTTAATACTAAAACGGATATTTCCATTTAACAAATATCGAATAGCGGTTTCACGCACCAGTTTGCCAATACGCGAGACGCAACGAGTTTGTGTATTTATTTTGATTACGGCGCAAGGCGATATTACGCGGCTTTGCGGCAACGTATCATCGAGTTTACAAACTCGCGTCGCGTTTTTTAAATAAACAATTTCAATGTTCAATTGCATAATTATTCTGCCAAATCAGACCTTGTTACGCACAAGCAAAAGAATGTGTTGTCAGAAGAAAAATGCGACAATTGAATTCTCGACGTAGTCGAAGAGACGAGCCGCCGGCTACTCGGAACACAAACGTTCGTATCGTTCGATCTCATTCACACCATATTGTCCAAAAATAAAAGGTAAAATTAGAACACTTAAAGACTGTGACGGACTACAAAAATATGTCGATCCACGTTTCAATGCACTGTTCTTTCATCGGACTACATTAGGTACTTATTTCTATTTACTTATTGTCTCGATCGCTAGAAGTCCCTTACCAAGCTCATACAACACACGTGAACGCAGGCGTAATTTACGCTCCTTTCCTTTGCCTCGCGCGTATTTTTTCTCCCGTACGATCGCATCGATCATTAAAGGAACTAGTTCTCTCGCGATTTCAACGCGTAAAAAAATTCCGCGCAGTGTCGCGAGGTCCATTGCGATTCAACACTCCTCCGTAGACGTGCTAGAGATCTGTGTGCTAGCGCCGCTAGAGAAGCTACTCCTGCAAGTCTCTACGGCGAGAGCGGTGTCCGGCACCTGGACGAACTGCACTTTCTCCTTCGGCCACCTGCTCCTGCCGTAGACGCAATTGAAGATGTTGTAACGATGATCCATCTCCAGGTGGCTCAGAGTGCTACTGTGCCGTCGCTTTAGCACCTTCTTTGCCATCAAGCTACGATTGTTCTTGTACGAGAGCTCGCGATGGAAGCAGAAAAACTTACGCAACTCTCGTTTCACCCGTCGGGATCGATAGCCAAAGAGCAACGGGCTCACGTAGGCGGCCAGGATTAAAAAGCTGAGTGCGAGCACGTCGTATTCGTGCGGGAACACGTAATCCGAGTATCGTGGCAGATTCTTGATCATATTTAATAGGACGTATGGCGACCAGCAAATCAGGCCCATTACGATCACCAGCGCGCTGATTCTGGCCGCCCGAGTCTCCTCACGATACCTGAACAAGGAGCCGTTGCTGATCCGATGCTTGAGAGAATTGATGTAACTGTTGGTGCTACGTACACTGGCCACTCGGTGCAGCGAACTTGACTTGCCAGGCGCGGGCGTGATCGTCACGATGGGCGTCAAAAAGCAAGACGAGGGTTCCGGACTATTGTATCCAACGGTTTCTGCATTTCTACTAATCGCGTATGATTCCACATTGGCATCGAAGATACTGGGTCTTGACAAACGGCGACTGGGTCGTCTCGGTCTCTTGTTCTCCGAGTTACCGCTAGAATTCGGGACCTCGTTTTGCGCTTGTTCTTTTGTCTTGATCGTAACAGAGGCCTCGTCCTCGATGCAACGAGTCGTCGTCCTAAAAGAATCCCGTTCGAGATTGTCCACGTCATCACATGGCTCCTCCTCTGTCCTCTCGCATTGGGTAACTGACAGAAGACAGTCGGAGGATCTTTGATCTGTGAGGATTTTGATCTTGCGAGTTGTCTTAGGAACTGTTAAGGAGTCGAAGTAATCGTAGCGTCGCTCGTCGTTCTCGGAATCGCTTGAGTCCGTCCCGGCGATCCACCCGGAGGATTCCCCGATCTCGTCCGTTAGATCACACGAAGATCTCCGATCGGCTTCCGAATCGTGGAATTTGCTCGCAACGAGGTTCTCGTAGGACGAAACGCGTTCCTTCTTGAAGTAGTTTGTCTGCATATCAGCTGCCTCCGTCAAATTATTATCATTGTTTTGATCAGACGGCACTTCCACCGGTTGCAGTCCTACCGTGAAGACGATCCCCGACGACGTCTGCTCGTCATTCGATCCCATCTGTGCAGCGTCCAAGGATGATGAAAAGGATCTCCGACGTGATATCTGATTGACCGAATGCGTAGTCTCGCTTGTCTCGTCGATGGACGAAAGACTCGAGATTTTGGGTATTCTACGAAACTCTTCGGGAAACGTGTCAGCGGATTGATGCTGTGCCTTCGCGTAATAGTACGGATCTTCGCTGAAGCTGCCCGACGAAAGAATCGGTCGCGAACCAGTCCTACGAGTTCTCTCAGAGTTTCGGTGCGCGGCCGAATAGATGCTGATATAAATCCAGCAAACACCGGCGAATGGAAGTAGATATGCGAATACACTGTGTACGACCGTGTAAATGAGTCCGTAAGTAACAGAGTCGTTAGTCATGGTACGAAAAATCACAGTAGAGTTCTCGAGGAGGCCGATGCTGCTATCGATCTTGATCGACTCGATCGTTTTAAGTAACGTTGGCGTCACGTCGTCGATCACTTCCTCTTCTCCCTCTTCGTTAGTCCCGTTGCCGAAGAACGCGAACGCGGATTCGAGCGACGTCTCCGCCGTCGCGGTAACGTTTGATGCAAATTCGCGATAGGACGAGTTATTCAGCAACGTTGTCGTGCTGCAGGACAGCCACAGGCTACGCGGACTCGGGTTCAAGGCAGCGACCAAGCCGAAGGTCATTGAAACCAGCCAGATGGAGACGATCAGCACGGCCGACTTGAGCTTGTCGACTCGAGCCCGGTAACGCAGTGGGTCTACCACGGCAAAATATTGGTCGACGGCAATCAGCAGGACCGATAGCACCGACGACGTGGTAACGAGCGCAGTGGCACCTTCCGATATCGCACAGATATTGCTGGCAGCCGACGCAGACGTCGATGTCGAACCGAACGGCGACGTGAAGTCATCCGGCGTTGACGTAGATGCCATCAGGGTGTCTTCCACCGTCGGGCCGTCCATCATCAGCAACGGGTTCAGCACGGCACACGTCAGCAGATTCGAAACGGTTAGGTTCATCACGAATCTGGAATTGAGACAGAACAGGCCGTCTTCAACATCGAACGTTGATAATGCCCGACTCCTGTGCGTGATTGTCTTAAATTAGCAATCGATGATTGATCGAATGACAATAACTCATTGAACCATGAGATGAGATCTGTTACGATTAATAAGATGCAAGGCGGAATAGAATAAGAAAAAAAGAAGGAAAGGATCTTTTATATTTTTTTTTCACATGGATCAATGTTGAATCGAAACGATTTGATAGTTAACAGCAGACACAAACGTATATAATTCGTTGGTAGAAAGCAACATCAAAAGAGACACAAAGCCACAGAAAGCACTGAAAGAAAAAAAAAGCCAAGTTTTATTTTCGTATTTTTCTGCTACGCTTTTGATTACAAGTCACGTGTTAGCAAACACGAATATCATTTGAATTGTACCGAATTGCTTAATATTCTTGCTCCTATCGTGGATGGATTATATTCGCCGTTTCTGCCAATATGACAAATTCTTCTTGAAAACATTTAAAGTACTCATGGTGTTTCGTTTCGTTTATTTGTGTTACCAATGGATCGACGAGCGAATTCAACTGATCGCTTTGATCCAAGTATAGCTCGGAAATATCGTTCACGTTATTTTGCAAAACGTTGGACACGAGATAATAAATGAATTTTCCTTTATACAGTGGTGAATGTTACAGTTTCGAGTTGCACTGTTAACAGCGACGAAATGTTCTGAAAATACGACAGATTTATTATTACATTTCGTTGCTGCGGTTGCCAAAGTTTGGTACTCGGCGAGTAATTGATTTCCTGGCTCAGCAGGTGGAGGTCTACGTAATAACAATGATATAGATCCAGTCTTAGTAGTGCGCGGCTCTATTAATACGGCTTACTAATATCAACTGAAACGTTTACTTTCGCAGAAATTAGTTGAGTCTTGGCCCAATCGAATTTCAATAAACGAGAGCTGACATTACATTCGTCTCTCGACGCAGGAACATTATTTACGATCGCAGGATATTCAAACAGCACGACTCGTCATATTGATTTGCACAAAATTTTGTTTGTACAGTAAATAAGAGCCTATCGCAGTCTGAATACGTCAGTCATCTTTACATCTCACGTACGCGGTTATTTTTACGTTGCCTGCAAATAGGGCTCCGGAGTCATTTGCGCGACGGCTAAATTTCCAATGATGAAAATTACAGGAGGAAAACGCCTACCTACCTACCTACCTATCTACCTACCTACCTACCTCTGTCTTTCCGCATTACGTCGCCTGGCGTCGACGACGACACGACAAAATCACAAACTGGAATATTTAGACTGGCACGGTCCCACGATCGAGGAGCACGGAGTTTATGCAATCTATAGAAACGACGCATTAAAATGCTATTTTATTTACAGACACGATAGAAAATACATCCATGCACTTGTCCATATGTAAAAGCACGCAAACGCGAGCGCCCGAGCGAAAATAATTTTTCTGCTATTGATATGGCGATTGGCTCTCGACATTTTTAACGAAATCGCATCACAGTGCGAGAACAGGTGCAACATTTTCCGTAACTAAATTTTAACTGTAACCAATAAAAAAAATGATCCGTGCGGTACTCATCAAAGCGCTTTTAATTTTAATACAGAGCAAGCCACGGATATAAATATCGGTCGCGTGAGGAGTTTCTATTTATTTCGGACCGCAGCCTTTATTTTACAGCGCTTTGCCGTTATTTCATTTTATCGCAGTGAAACCGTAAAGTTTGGTCGATTATCGACTCGGGGAAAAAAACGCAAATGCAGTCGCTATCGATGTGCATGTAGGGTTATTAACCTTGGCATGGAACGCAACAACGCGTGAAATGAACGCACTGCGGATTATTTATCGCCGTCGCATTTCCGTGAATATTACGCGAAAGTATGGCGACGCCTAAATATATTATTTCCATCTCGTCGTCTCGCGCGCGCGCTGCTTTTATTTCCGGTTTGGCGTGCGACGCCGCGACGCGACAAACGCACACGAGACTCGTTTCGGTTGCGACGCTCGTGTGTCCCTTGTATCCTTTTCAGTCTTTGCTGTCCACAAGAATAATTACGCTCGTTATCACATACGTCAACGAGCTGCGTTTAACGAATTTCATAAACCGTCGCCTACGACAACTGACGTCGCTCGTGTGAACTGGACCGCTTCTTCGATGACAACATGATAGCAATTTTGCAATCGCATTAACGTCACACCACACAACAATATTATTTATTTATTATACATTATCCCTTTTCCTATAAATAAGTATCACTGTTAGAAATGTTCTTAAATTTCATTAACTTTTAATGTACATTGGTGAATGAAGTTTAATTTCTCTGTAACTGAAAGGACTATTAATGCACATGTTAATGAGATTTAAGTTTACAGTAACTGCAAAATTAAGTGTAATGAAATTTAATATACTTTTATAAATGACATTTAATTAATCGTAATTGAAATAACTATTGTACATATTAATGAAATTTAAGTTTGTAGTAACTTTTAAGTTAAGCGTATTGAAATTTAATGTACTTTTACATTTACGAATATTAATAATATTTTAATTAAGCCTAATACTATTAACGCTTAACGTTTAATACGTTTACGTTTCTTACATGTCATTAACGTAAATTACTTTTCAGTTACAGATCTCGTACTTTTCATTAACGTGTAAATTAATTTCTATAATAATGTGTTCATTAATTTCAATACACACGTTCATCGCATTTAAAACTACTGTAATTCAGTTTTTATTTACATCATTCATTACATTTAATTTCGTGCATAACCACATGCTTCCTTTACACGTTAATTAAAATTCATTGAGAAATTTCTAACAGTGTATAGCGTGCAATAATTCGAGTTATTGACATTGAAATGTTTGGACAGTGAAATGTTTGGGAAACAAAGATACGTAGCAAGATGTATATGTTAGATAAAAGTCTCCAAGGGGTACTAGAATGATAGTAAAAGTCAATAACAATGTTTCTCTTCTCGGAACCGAGAGAACGACTCGGATATTTTCAACTTGATCATTCCCGGCACGAAAGAATCGATCCACTAACCTGTTAGAGATGGTGCGCAATCCCGGCCTGACAAGAAACGCAAGCAGAAGGGTCGCGTTGAGGAGAAAGCAGCCGAAGAGCACGAAGCTCCAAGCCGCGATCCCCGGATTGTTCCACCATCTTTCCAGATTTCCCAGGTCCGCAACCGATCCTCCTCCAATTCCCGTCGCAGCTCCATCCATTCACAAATAATAAGTATATTACGGGATCTGGAACAAAATGGAACATCGTTTTCATCAGAGCGGCCATTCGACGTCTATATACCTATAATTTCGAGATCAAGATTGATCCTTCAACTAATTTAGCGCGAGATTACTTTCGTAATATTGGTGTGCCAAGGGAATTATTCGTTAAAGAAATTAAATTTAAAGATGCTAGAAGGTTTGTGGGTCTGGCATCTTTGAAGTAAACACTCGTGGAAACCTCAAATATTATCATGAAATTCAATTTATTTGAAGCGAATTCCAAGAAATTATAAATTTACTCTGAGCGTGTTCCAAGAAAGTTGCGTGAGACTGTCGCGCGATCAATTCTTCGATTATGGTCCAGCTGTTTCTCCCGCTGGAAATTTTCTTATTGCGTTCTCAAAATGGATCAATTTCGCATGATGTCGCGAGGAAATGGCGCGACTACGACGCTCTGAAGGAGTTCCCGTCGACACGTATTTTTAGACGGATTTCCCCGTACACACGTGTTGCAAAAATATCCGCGTGGATATGTAACACGCGTGTACACGCGCTCAATTGTACGCGCACGAACGAGATTGATCGAGATCACATGAGGATCTTAAGAAAGAGGCGAGCTCACGTGACGGGAAAACGTGCCTTTTGTATTCCACGCGAAAAGATGGTTTCCGCGAACCATCCGTTGTTGTACCCGCATATAACAGTTCGAACAAATACGGTCTATTTAAATAATAAAAGAGAGATAATCCACGCAGAGACCGAGGTTAATGCTATGAAGATGTCTTCTGAATATAGCGTGGCGTACGTTTCTTAGCTATCTTTGTCTCCCTTTCTTCTCTCGCACTTAAAATGCTTAAGGCTGGTATTCATAATCGATTCTTATATTTAAGACTGTCTCTTAAGCACGCAGTCTTAAGATGTCACAAACCAATTAGAGGGTATATCGTTTTAAAATATTATTAAGACAATCTTGTAATAAGAACAGACTATAAATATAGGCCCATGTTGTACTTTTAAAGTATTTAAGGCCCGATTGCATCAACGTTACTTTGATTTTAAGTGAGGTTTAAAACTCTTTCTGTCTCTATCTCTTTTCGGCTTTAAAACGAGACAGATAGAGTTTTAAATCTAGCTTAAAGTCAAAGTGATATTGATGTGACTGGGCCTAAAAGGTTTAAAGTATTAAATTATGTTCAAATTATGTATTTAAATCATGTTTTTTTTGCAAGTAATTAAAACAGGTTGATTTAAAAAGATCAATGGTACGCGGTATGCGTACATATGAATGTAATTTTAATAGAGAAAAACGCGCTTTTGTTCGCCATCGTAACACCTGAGGCGTGTAAACAGAAAGCGCAGAGATGTATAACACGTTTCGAAAATAAAACGATTCTTCTTCTCTATCTCTCTTTCTCTCTCTGTTTCTTTATCTGATTAACGTCAACTAATTTGTTTTCGAATGACAGTATATCGTTATCCGCTCGTTTTTTTTTGCACTGGTATTACTTGAATGATTGACTGCGGTCATTCAAGTGAATAATCTTTATCATTAACATCTTTTCACTTATCTCTCAATCTGTGCAAAGTGTTCGTCGCTTTTAAAGTCCCTGTTTAAACGTTTTACGGACGATTTTTAATATATTATCAAGATAATCATTTTAAAATCACGACAATCTTAGCACTTGTAGCGGGACGTTATAATTATGATAAGAATTATTTAATTAGATAAAGACCTCTCATTTAGACTTAATATCTGTTTAGACAAGCAATACGTAAAGTCGTAAATTATAGTGGTAAGTGACAATGACCTAAATTCCATCAGTCTCGTAATCCGTAAAACGCGCCGAGATTTGCTTAGACTCGACTAGAAAAATAATTGGTCTTGCGATATAATCTTGATTTGACTCATATGACTTTATTTTCGCGAATAAACGGAGAATAAATGAGAAATAATGGAGAGAGAAGAATCTACAGCAGTCTTTGTACGATATAAAGTATGGGATTCTAAGTTCGTACACACAATTCTTTTCTGTAGTGATGAAGAATAACGAGGAAAAGAGGTAAACCAACAAAGTGGAACTTATCATTTCAACGTGCAGGGATCGACCTTACACTCGATTGCTGCGAAATCTGGCAGCGGTTCAAAACTCGAGACGTTGAGAAAACGAATAAAAGAAAGAGAGAGAGAGAGAGGCAGAGAACATGTCGAAGGCATCAATTTATGATGATCCGCACATACAGACAGCCGTTTATTTCCGTTTGGCGAAATTCTCACGAAAGATATCGTTTGGAGATCCGACCATACAACATGGATCCAACAGCCGAACGATCCATTATCTTGGTTGGTTTCCGAAATGGCATTATCGCGCGATGAGCCCGCGTCATGAGTCACGATCTCGCGTTCGCGACGACGAGAACATACCATGCCAATGGAAACAAACAGAACTCCACGTGATTTTATGGAGCAAGTGATAATTGAGCTGGGAGTGAGACCATTTCGTACATATGACGGGCGTTCTCGTTGCGCAATAAATGCGCAATCCCGTCTTTAACTCGCTCTTATTCCACGGTATCTCTCGGGCTTGTCTTCTCGACACGTGAGAATGTCATTTCAAATGTACTTTTATAACCGGTGCCGAGTATTACGAGCGAAATCGTCGCGATATATGTTTCGCAGTAAAAATTGTAGGTCTCGTAAATGTTAACTAAAAGTTACGAGAAGACTGGAAAATAACCTACACTTTTCATGATATATTTTCGACGTAACACAGTTATAATGTTATTAATGTCTTTTCATCTTGAAATTGTTTTAATCGTGTAATTAAAAAAAAAATTTAATGTTCTATATAGTTTGTCTTCTCTCTAAACTTTTTAGAATGGAATCTCGCTCTAAAGAGTGAAAATTGAGTCCGTATTCAAAAAGAGTGGCTCAATTTTCAATCTTTAAGAGCGGTATTCATAGTCGGACCTGATATTTAAGACTGTCTTAAGTACAGTCTTATGATGTTATGAACTAATCAAAGGGCTGTGTTAGCATCTTAAGATATTACTTAAGACGGTCTTAAAATAAGAACCTGCAATTACAATTATCAGCCCAAGAGTAAGATTTCATTCTTTAGGGTGAGATTTTCGTTCTAAAAATTTTAGAGTTTCCTTAATATTTAAAATATTATTAAATTAATTGGACGCACAACAAAGTTTGCCCTTAATTACCATAGTAATTCTTTTCATTCAGACTAAATGATTTAATGTGAGTCGAAGTATTGTTATTCGCACTATCTACTGCGGCGTTAACCAGTACATTTATATTCCACTTAGCATTTCGACCGGAAGGCAAACTTATACAGTTGCAGATGTACGGTTCATCGCGAACCGATTCTTGAGCTGCTGCTATAAGAGGCTCGAACACGCGTGGCGATTATGCGAATTTCGCTGCGTAATGCACGCGTCTTATAACGGTGTTATTTTCGCGCGCGTGACTTGATAAGCGCGAAATCGCTTCCGCGCGAACGACCGCGACAACGTCTGCCATTGTATATCCTGCCAGAAATAGCGCGCAAAAATCTAAACAGAACCGCGAGCCGCTCATTACCCGGCCGTCAATTGCGCACGGCGCGGGCGCGATAACAGGATCACCGGCAGCGAATCCGAAGCAGATGTCATTGTCATTCCGAGTAAAGCGTGCCGCTCACGTGAGTCGACATGGACCGCGATATGTCGTGTCGGCCCGCGCGATGCGGGTACGCGGAAATGTACATATCGGGGAAATTGACGACGTCGGCGTCGACGACGTCGGCGTCGACGTTGTCGGCGTTATACGCCTCCGGCGGCTCCGATAAGGCTCGATTCTGTATTTCGATTTCGACCCGCGTGGCGATGTTCCCTCGCGCATCGCAACAGACTTCAGGCAAAATCTTCCATGAGTTATCGCTCGTATAATAAGAATGGTACAGTAATAAGTACAGAACGCAATGTCGAACGATGTTTCGAAAGTTACTACAATTTTTACGCGATGTTTTGCCACAAGAACTGATCTGTCACAACTGAGATTTAATTTGAATTTTTAGGGATGAAACAACCCTTTAAAACTTAATGGGGATGGGGATATTTTTTAAATATTGGATTTTTGGAAAATCTAAATACATAGTTATCAAGTATATTAAAAATCATAAAATTTTATCTAAAAAACATTTGTTTATATATTTTATCATTTCATCAATATAATTGATTTGAATAAAATATAAGCGTTAGCTTTTTGAAGGATTATTTCACTCTTTAAATCTCGAATGGAATTGATATAAAAAACTTTTCTTTCAGATTTTTAAGTTTAACAACATAAATTTGTGAATTTACTAGTGGCTCGCAAATTACAAACATAAATTATAAAGAGTATTTATAACCACGCACTGAAAAATCTTTGCTTCTATTCGTCCTAATGAGATTTTTATATTGAAAATTATTGCTTCTATTCATCTTAACGAGAAACTTTTATATTGAAAAGTTATGAGAAACGCCAGATTTCCAGATTCTGTGCTTGTCACAACGATCCTTATTTTCTCCATCAATATTGAGATTGTCCTTCTTAATGTGAGACGAACAATAACACCAGACAGAACGTTTCTCACAACTTTTTAATATAAGTCTCTCGTTAAGATGAATAAAAGCAATAATTTTCAGTATAAAAGTCTCATCAGGACGAATAGAAGCAAAGATTTTTCGACAACATATACACAAACGTATATTGTAATTCGAATAAAAATTTGTTGTTAATTTATTCTTTTAATCTTATGACTAAGAATAATTAATCGTTTATTTATTTCAATTCTTTTAATCTTATGATTGCAAACTATTTTTATATTATTTATATTGTATATAAGATAGTCTGATATATAGACCGAAACGTCTACACTGAAAAAAATTTCTGGTTGAAAATGGACGAATCAGAAATTTCTGGTTAAATTTATTAGAATTTTAGTTGAGATAACCGGAATTCTGGTTGATACTATATTTCTGGTAAAATCTACTAGAATTCTTATTTTTACCAGAATAATTATATTAATCAGAATTCTAGTTATCTCAACTAGAATTCTAATAGACGTAACCAGAAAATTCTGATTCGTCCATTTTCCACCAGAGTTACTGTTTAATCCAACCAGACTATTTTTCTCAGTGTATAATTTGTTTCTGTAAAACGTAAGAATTTTAAATATATAACATTTGCAAAAAAAAATTGCGCGTGGCTGAATGCTCTTTATAATTCGAATAAAAATTTATTGTTAATTTATTCTGTTAATCTTATGACTAAGAATAATTGATCGTTTATTTATTCCAATTCTTTTGATCTTATGACTGCAAACTATTTTTATATTATTTATATTGTATACTGAAAATGGTCTGATATAGGCCGAAACGTCTATAATTTGTTTCTGTAACGTAAGAATTTTAAATATATAACATTCGTAAAAAAAAAAATTGCGCGTGGCTGAATGCTCTTTATAATTCGAATAAAAATTTATTGTTAATTTATTCTTTTAATCTTATGACTAACAAGAATAATTGATCGTTTATTTATTTCAATTCTTTTGATCTTATGACTGCAAACTATTTTTATATTATTTATATTGTATACTGAAGATAGTCTGATATAGGCAGAAACGTCTATAATTTGTTTCTGTAACGTAAGAATTTTAAATATATAACATTCGCAAAAAACCACCTTGCGCTGAATGCTCTTTATAATTTATGTTTAACAACATATTTCAATGAGAATCGAATAGGTTCCAGACAGTTGCGACGGATCTCTAATTGCAAGTTCCAGACAGCGCGGCACTACGATCCGTGAGACACAATTTATCACGCGCGAAGACGAGTATCTTGGAAATCTCTAATACTTCCGAAGGCCGTTCGATATTAGGTTAACAAGAGAAATTGGGTAAGGCCGATAACTCACCAGAGATATGTGAAACTTAGTTGATCTCGATACAAGGGCATAACATGGCGCCAAGATCGCATCTATTCCTTCCGTACCAGCTCTCCGTGCTCCATTCTCGAAGACCTTGAAGATAAAATAGACACCAGAAGCATTATTCTTACTGTGTTCCTTCGTCTTCCGATAAACAGTATTTCTCAAGTATTTCTTATCATCTATCGCGACCGCGCAACGCCGGAATAGCCGCAAGATGCAACTTGAAATAGATTTTGCGTAAGAATCTTTTATCTATAATTATTAAATGTTCAATATAAAAGGTATCTAACTTGAAAAATATATATAAGACGCAACGGAAAATTTAAAAGTAAATCAAAAAGATGTGTCGATGCCGAAGAATGAAATAGAGATAAAGACGAAATTACATCAGAATTTACATTGTGCAATTTATTTCGCATATTAAATCGTTCTCGATGTTATGTACGCCCTCTTCGAGAATAATTATCAAATCTGTTTTCCTAATGATAAGTCAGCAGATGAATCGAACAAGCGCGACTATACAATGATAAGCGATATTTTTTATATAGCATTTTGTTGAAAAGTTAAGTCACGCGCGTATAACATCTACGATGCTCTTTCTGGACTTCTCCAGTTGACGTTTGGCCTTGGATCTTATTTCACCGGCGATTAATTCAAAAGGATTGATTAATTCCAGAAATCTCACACTATCGCGAACTTCGATATAACTCGACCTGTCGCGTGTCATTCAAGACAAAACGGCGCGCGAAAGGAAAATTTATCAGGATGAAAAACACTCGGGAAAATTGTACGTAACACTGTATAGAAAATTTCAAAGTTACGTTTCGATCAACAAATCGAAATGGAAACTTTAAATAATAATAAATAGTGATTTCGAGGAAACCTAAAATACGGTAGTAAAATCTCTTTGCTCTGTTAGGCGCGCTCAAAAAAAAGTATACATCCAATGTGAGATGCAACAAACAGATATTACTTCACTCTGTAAACGGAAATATACAACTCGTTTAAAAAACAAACTCCTCGTAAAAGTATTCGTGAAAACAAATCTTGGCTTCCGCAATTCGCGCTTCTATAATATTGCACGGATTTATGAAATTTGTTACTCACCCCACGTTGCGTGAATCAAAATTCATTCGTAAACAAAATTTCCTTGAGACAATGTTCGTTTTTGCCCGAAATTTTCCAGAGACTAGTGATGAAATAAAAGATGGAGACACAAAGTTATCGATGAGTTATTCACGGATGCAAAAGTCACTTTAATTAACAAGTGAATTCGCTCGTGAGAACAATTAACGTCTCTGGAAGTTGCCTAATGGAGAGGACGGTCAAAGATGACAAGTATTTAAGATGTCTCGCGAGAACCAACTGACACCATGAGCAAACAACGTGGGACTGAGGAATCCCGCCATTGACGAAATGTTTAAAATCACTTTAAGAATGAAAGCAGAGAGGGGGGGGGGGGTCTATATTAAGCATTAATGTAAGTACATCGCGAGTATCATATGATTGCGAGAGCCAATATTATATCTTATCGACCTCGGATAAAATGTCGCCAGTCTTATTGCAACGTAATCTCGTAAGATTACGCGATTATCTAGCCCCGAGGAAACGCGCGAGAGAGAATTAGCATACCAGAACGTAGACAGGTGTGGAAAGAGCACCTGGCGAGAGATAGATAGGGTCGACATTAAGGTCATTAAGATTTGCAAAGTATAAAAGTGTCCTTAATCTTTACCATAGCTGCGGAAGATCGTAAAATATCACCAAGCGTATTCATAGCAATGCAAATACACGTTTTTGCGTCGCTACTTTCCGCATCGTATCGCAGCATCCGATTACATTAACAAAACAGCGAACGCGAGAAGTTGACGTCTTTGCATTTCTTGCCAAGTTATTCCTTTTTACGACGCGGCGCCGGTAATTAAAATTAATTAATGTATCGCTCATGGATGCGGAAGTAATCATCTCTTTTTATCTTCCCAAATTTAATATTCTCTTATTTATTACCATGTCACTCTGTTTTTTTGCCACTTCCGTATTTATACTTCCGTATTTCAAGGGAAGTAAAAATATTTATGACGCGTATCGTATGGGATTCCCTAATATCGGGTTATATCACCACGTACGAATTCATATTGCCTTGGTAACGAAAAAGAGTCTTGTTCCTTAACACGGCTGCGAGAATGCGTGGGCAAGCCCGAGTATCATCGAATACAGCTTCATTTCCTGGTCGGAGAATACGAGATGTTCCAAATTCCAAGACGTTTACCGTTCACTTCTCCGCCACATTGCATTCTTTTTTCTATACGTGGAGTCGCGTGTGCGGACGATATCACGCTCATTAAATCCAAAAATATACTCATTAGAGAGTCAATGAGTTTTTTTTTTCTTTGTCGGATATACGAATAATTTTAACATAAATTATCGCAATTATTAGTGAAGATTTTAGATGACTGTTCAGGGAAATATTCGCAGCTGATATTATTACTGCCGACGGCAGATGTCGTAAAAGTGTATCTTTATACATACATGACATTGCTTGTTTTTGACTTGCGTTAATCTTTATTTCCTAAGTATTTTCTTACCATTTTTAACGTCGATAAGTATAATATTCGAAGCGATAATCGCGTAAATAACGCAATGCTACAAATTGCCCGCAAGAAAGCTTTGCAAAGAGTGACGCACTCTTAAAGAGTCCGCTATCATCAATTATCCCATTAAGATAATTATACCCATTTAATAGGAATGAAACTTTTATATCTTATTCCGCGTGTAAGGTCGCGATATATTATCATTCGATATGATATATCTTATAAAGTCTAATCGAGCACGTATAACAGTGATCTGTTCTATTTCAATCATAGTATTTTATATCTACGATTTCAATTCATGCACTGAAAAAAATTTCTGGTTGAAAATGGACGAATCAGATTTTTTTTTTTTTTTTTTTTTTTTTTAGTTAAATTTATTAGAATTCTAGTTGAGCTAACCGGAATTCTGGTTGATACTATATTTCTGGTAAAATCTACTAGAATTCTTATTTTTACCAGAATAATTATATTAATCATAATTCTATTTATCTCAACTAGAATTCGAATAGACATAACCAGAAAATTCTGATTCGTTCATTTTCCACCAGAGTGACTGTTTAATCCAACCAGATCATTTTTCTCAGTGTGTGCAATTGATGCAGGATGCATTAAAATTATTGCACAGCTTCTGTTTTCCCATTAACTATACTTGCTTAAATCTAGAATCTAGAATTTAGAGAGAGAGAGAATCGATATTGCCCTAACAAAAAAATTCGTTATTAATGTTTATATTAAATAAAAATCTCGACAAAAAACCAAGGAGTTTTCGTATCTTTTTTCACGACTAACGGTATCGTTGAGAAAGCGCAGTAATTCCAACACTCGCCGGCGAGTTTCCGGCAAGCAAGAAAGTGAAACAGGAACGAGCTACTTTAAATATCCGCTTTGAATATTTTAACCGTCAAATCTGGAATTCTAGGCCTATCCTCGATAAGATAACGATATTTGATGAGAAAGCCTATTAATTTTAAAACACTCATTACATAGCGAACAAAGAGAACTATGTAGGAACGAACGCAGCGAGCAGCCCTATGTGAGTTTCCGACATCAACGTGCTTCTGACATCACTGAAACTTTTCTCACTCTTGTGCACGACGCTTGCTTCCGAAACAACGCAACACGGAAACCGCAATATCCGCTACTAACTGCCTCATACATCGAGTAACGAACTTTTAATTTCGCTAATAATAACGAAAAACCTCTCATGGTGCAGGGAATACAAGAGTAAAGAACCAGTAAAAAATTCACTATTCGCTTAAATTTGATACGGAGAGGTTTGTCTGAATTTGTTGCTCTCAAAATATGCAAGTTACGAATTTGTCGCTTGCAAAAGAAGTGTAAATAACGACGAAAAACCTCTCAATTGCCTGTTTTCCTTCGAGCCATTGAATAGTGTTGTCACATTTTTATACTGTTCTAAGCAGGGTTGAGTAGTGCCAAGTTAAAAAGCTGAGTTAAGTTAAAAAGTTAAAAAGTTAAATAATTTTAACTTAACTTAGCTACATTTTAGACTCTTAACTTTTTAACTTTATTTAGTTACATTTTATCGATAACTATTAACTTTTTATTTAAATTTTTTGAAGTTAAGTCTCAGACTCAAACATATACTTCATTTAGAACATACTTTATATTTTACTTACATTATATATTGATTTCAATCTAGCAAAAACCGTATATTTTAATGTATCTAGTTTTTGATAGGTTGAAATATATATATATATATATGTATATATATAACAGTATATATAAACAAAAAATTTAAATAAAATATAGAGTATATTCTAAATGTGTAGTGTATGTTTGTCGTTTCCGTTTTTGTAAGACTCTGAAATCATAAAATAGAAAGAAATTTAACTTTTAATTTTTCAATTACTTTTTTTTTATTAATTTAACTTTTAATTCAATTAATTTCATTATACATTAACTTGTATCTTAACTTAGTTAAAAGAAAAAATTAACTTACCCAACCCTGGTTCTAAGTGATAAATATTTCATAACTTTGAGCCTAGAATTGAATAACTCTGACGAAAGTAATCGTTAAGTTTCAGATTTAAATATTAATTATTAATTAAGTTATTATATAAATGTAAACGAGATGTTACAATTTCATGTTCTTTCCTAACACATATTGCAATATCGTTTGGCTATTATAAAAAGTGACGCAAAAAATGACTTCCTCGAATTCATCAAATATATTGCGTATGATGTAAAAATTTTGAATACTAAGCAATAGAGCAAACATTGAATCACTCCAAGAGTCATTTGGGTACCTATCATGGAACATGTCGGAATGAATTCCGATCGGAATTATTCCGTTTTTCCTAAAAAATACAATAAAAATCTAGAAAATAATTGAATAATTCCGATCGGAATCCATCTGACTTTTTCCATGACAGATGCCCTGCGATGGAATCGGTGACTTTGGCGCGTACACTGCAATTTCCTTCGAACAGCAGCGCTCTGTTCTCTTTTATTGTGAGACTTGTGTTTCCCGAAGGA